CCAGAATTCCCCAGCCAGCCATGCTGGCTGGGGAATTCTGGGAGTTGAAGTCCACCTGTCTTCAAGGGGCCACGGTGGAGGAACACTGCTGTAAAGGAGCATGTTTTGTTTACAAGTGTTCCCAAACTCAGGAATCTGGTCATCTGGCCAAGGGCCACGAGGGGGCAGCCTCTGACAAGGAGAAACATGAAAAACAGCCACTATCAGAAAGTTTATTTCAGGCGACCAACATTCCCTTTTATTTTCAGGTTATGTGATATCTGTGGGCTAGAGTTTTTCCACCTGCCCCCCTCAAGGCCGGTTTGGGCTGGGCCAGATCTCTGTGGTTAAAATTACGCACTTACACATTTGTTTACGTTGCAGGAGGGGAGCTGCGTTCCTCCGGCCTGGCCAAAAAAACAGGAGCCGGGTAGCACCTTTTCCAACTAACCGGGTTTATTCAAAGGCAGAAACCTTGGGGAGCTTTGTGGAGTGGGTGGATTGCTGTAAGGTCTAAATTGGGGTAAGGGGAGGGGGGAGAGACTGTTTAGTCCAGATGCCTTATCAATTATGCAGATACTTTATCCTTTAATTATTGTAGGGTATTAAAGCCCCATTCTATTTGTTGAGACCTTTTAAGATTGGGCGAAGCCTTTCGCTGGTAAATCAAGATCCGTAGATTTGCTCCAAGCCTAACCTCCGATAAGCTAAAGCAAATACATTCTCTCTGCTAAGCTCTGTAGCCGATGGGCCAGCCCGGGAACAAGCCAGCCCCCCAGCAGGAAAACCCACAGCCCAGCTGGTCACTAAGATATCGTGGAGCCCTTGCAGCTCTCTGAGCTCAGTTGTTTTCTTGCAAACGTTTCGTTACCTGGCTGGGTAACATCTTCAGCACTTAAGATATTAATCAGTTTTGCTCATTCATGGAGGAAAAAGCTATGCAAATAGGCTCTGGAATACTTCCATTCTATATACGCAGCACGGCTGGAAGAAAATATTTATTGTGTATGGAATTATGGCCTTAGCGACACATACTCTCACCGACGTCAGTTTTCATAAACGCTAGCCGATAACAGGGACTGCAATTATCTCTCTTTTCAAACACAAAATTTCTTTTGTAGATGTCAGGCCCATCTGTTCCATCCCAGGGCTCTTTTCAAACTGCCTTCCTGGGTCAAGTTACAAACGAGGGTGCCCTCCCTGTAAATCGAATGTATCCAAAATGTTGGTTCCCACTGGAGTGAGACAGGTGGTGACAAATTTGAAATATAAATAAACAAACATATAAACATACAATATAACTTTACCCGTAATAGATTGGGCATGGCCTATACGGGCACCAGGAGAGGGGAGGCAAAATTCGATGTTTTTATTTATTGATAAATCAAAGGTATATGCCGCCCATCTCACTATATAAGGGACTCTCGGTGGGTCACGCGTCAGAAGCATAAAAGCGGTTAAAACCCTACACAACAAAGTTAAATTTCGGGGTTTTTAAGGTCCGGCTCTTGCTGGTTGCCAGACTGAAAGGTTTTGCCGCGGGGGGAACTGCCTTTGAGTCTCCCTTTCCCGGGACTGGCACGGGCGCCCGGGCGCCGCGG